CTTGGTATGTCTTGACTTGTGCGTAGACTCCCCGGCAACGGTGCCAGAAATCTTTCTTGCTACCTCTTGAGCATGAGTTGGTTTTCCCTTGAAGAGGAAAGGGTGATGCAGCAAAGCAGCGTAAGTATTTCCCTCAGTTTTTGAAAACCAAGGTATCAATCCAGTAGGAGACCACGCGCGAGTCACCTCGTACCTACACAAACAAATAAGAACCTTGCAACCAACGCGATAAAGGGGTTGTCAATCCCTTCACGACCACTTGCAAGAGTGAGATCTGATAAAGTTAATAATAATAAGATAAATATTTTTGGTATTTTTATGATATAGATTGAAAGTAAAGATTGCAAAATAAAATAGATTGGAAACTTGTATGATGGAAGATAGACCCGGGGACCATAGGTTTCACTAGTGGCTTCTCTCAAGATAGCATAAGTATTACGGTGGGTGAACAAATTACTGTCGAGCAATTGATAGAATTGAGCATAGTTGTGAGAATATCTAGGTATGATCATGCATATAGGCATCACGTCCGTGACAAGCAGACCGACTCCTGCCTGCATCTACTACTATTACTCCACACATCGACCGCTATCCAGCATGCATCTAGAGTATTAAGTTCATAAGAACAGAGTAACGCTTTAAGCAAGATGACATGATATAGAGGGATAAACTCATGCAATATGGTATAAACCCCATCTTTTTATCCTCGATGGCAACAATACAATACGTGTCGTTTCCCCTACTGTCACTGGGATCGAGCACCGCAAGATTGAACCCAAAGCTAAGCACTTCTCCCATTGCAAGAAAGATCAATCTAGTGGGCCAAACCAAACTGATAATTCGAAGAAACTTGCAAAGATAACCAATCATACATAAAATAATTCAGAGAAGATTCAAATATTGTTCATAGATAATCTTGATCGTAAGCCCACAATTCATCGGATCTCGACAAATACACCGCAAAAGAAGATTACATTGAATAGATCTCCAAGAGAATCGAGGAGAACTTTGTATTGAGATCCAAAGAGAGAGAAGAAGCCATCTAGCTAATAACTATGGACCCGAAGGTCTAGGGTAAACTACTCACACATCATCGGAGAGGCTATGGTGTTGATGCAGAAACCCTCCGTGATCAATGCCCCCTCCGGCGGAGCGCCAGAAAAGGCCCCAAAATGGGATCTCACGGGTAGAGAAGGTTGCGGCGGTGGAATTAGGTTTTCGTGGTGCCCTCTGATGTTTTCAGGATACGTAGGTATATATAGGAGGAAGAAGTAGGTCGGTGGAGCCACGAGGGGCCCACGAGGGTGGAGGGCGCCCCCTGCCTCGTGGCCTCCTAGTTGATTGCTTGACGTCCACTCCAAGTCCTCTGGATCACGTTTGTTTCAAAAATCACGCTCCCGAAGGTTTCATTCCGTTTGGACTCCGTTTGATATTCTTTTTCTGTGAAACACTGAAATAGGCAAAAAAACGGCAATTTGGGTTGGGCCTCCGGTTAATAGGTTAGTCCCAAAAATAATAGAAAAGTGTATAAATAAGCCCATTAAACATCCAAAACAGAATATATAATAGCATGGAACAATCAAAAATTATAGATACGTTGGAGACGTATCACGCTTCTGGACCAATGGAAGAGTCAGGGGCTATGCACATGTGAGGTGAACTTGCTGGACACGGTGGTGGGGTCAATTCCTCTGGTGATCGCGAGAATGGAGTTCGTGATAGCAGATAGCTTCGGCTTTCGATGAACTCGATGCTTCGGTGGACCTAGGGCACTATGTGGATGTCTGGGAGGTTCGTCGTGGCTCGGGGACTAGAGTGGTGGCAATGGTTGGTGCTGAGGGCATCTGGGGTTGCTGGAATTTTTCCGGCATTGAGCTAGGGCAGAATGGAGAAGGTGAGCTCACGGCCGAGCAACCTGGCGGCGAGAGGGGTTGCGGTGTTGGGGCTTTTGCAGAGGAGGGCGAGGGCTTCAACTCGACCTGGCGCGGGCGTGGCCATGGACGAGCGAACGTGCAAACGTGTGCATGGCTTGCTCTAGTCGTGGGCACCGTGGGCGGTTGCCGCGATGTGGGCCCGGGGTGTCAGCAGGAGAGGGGGGAGAGAGAGCCCGAGCGCGGGTGGGCTTGCTCCGGGGGCCGTGTTCAGGTTAGCTAGGTCGTGCGCGTAGTTTATGTTTCTTTTTTATTTTCTTCTTTTCTATTTTTTGTTTCTATTTTTCTCAATTATTTTTATTTGATTTCTATTTTGAATTTTCTTCCAAAAGCAAACTTGCTCTAAATTCATTTGTGAATATTTCCGAGCTTCTCAACATTTTGTTTGGGCATTTTGAACATATATTTTCTGCACCTTATTTCCCTCTTGGATTTCAATTTGGTTTTAAAACCAAATATGTTTCAATAGGGTCAAATTGGTAATTTTTCTTACATCTCCCCCCCCCCCCGGGGGGGGGGCCAGGTATCCCAGTGTTATATTTGGTTATTTACTAAAATCTCCTTTTGGTGGAGAAGGGTGGATTGTTAGTGTAGATAATTTAGAAGATATAATTGGTGGACATGTATGGTTGGGTTTTATTTGTGTATTTGGCGGAATTTCCAATTTGGAAAATTATCAGAAACTTAAGCTCACCATTTGGACTTATGAAATTCACTTTCTGCCAAAAAAAGTGTGAAGCCATTTTTTTATAACCATCCCTTTGATTTTTGAATTGATTCCAAAATAGATACAACTCAATAATTTAGGGAAGATTTATTAGGGCTTGATTATCATTTGGGTCCTATTAAGGATAGCCTTATTCCCAAATGAATTATTTCAATTGGTCACCCTATTTTGGAATTCAAAATTATTCCCCAAAACTTTTAGGGTTCATCATGTTTTCCCAAATTTCAACAAGGGTTTCAAAGGTTGGCATAGGGTTCTTGTCCCTCTAGGTGCATCAATCACAAGAAAATCCTAGGCAATATTAGTTAGCTAGAGAGTAATCATAGGTTTTTGCAGAAAATTTTTGATTCCCTGTGAAATTTTTAACATACTAGATTTGGAGAAAATCTGGGATGTGACAGGTATCCAGCCGCTCCAACACGGAGCTCACCCGATCTACGAGTACAGTGGCAAGGACGACATCACCAGGGCAATCCGAGCTGACTTATATGAGTCGAAGTCAATCCAAGAGATGCATTCCTTCATGTTTACGGGGAGGATCGCCGATTTCCCTGAAGAGGCAACCCACTTGCGACTTCTCGCCCTAATTACTTGCAGCAGAGTTTAGGGTTTCTTATCCCTTCAAATCCTCAAGTCAGCGCATTCTGGGTTGATCAATTGTTCTTTTCTTCCAGAAGTGGTGTCTATGGTCAACAATGTGCATTCCCCAGCTCCATAGCCCGATGATTCGATACCCCCGGAACTCCATTTTCTCCTAGCCATCGACACATGTCGGGCTATAGTCCATACGTCGCACGCCAAGGAGCCTGTAGCACAGAACGACAACGTCGTCGAGTATGAAGAGTTGTATTCCAACTCTAGTTGTGGAGCTAAAGAGGATGGCCGGGCGAGTTTATCCTGAACAAGCGAGACCACAATGACGGGGCATCAGGCTCCCAGACTGTACCACCAAGCCAACCTAAAGACGACATGAACGTCTCCTCCTACTGAGATTAACATATTGAGATTGATGAAGTCATCACACACACCTTCGTAGTCGACGAAAACGTCTCCTCCCACTAAACGAGCATCGCCGGGAAGTCTGTAATAAATCCAGGAAAGTGCGAGCACCAGCGCCAAATCTGGGACTTGAATCCTGGTGGGCTGGTTCCACCACAAGGAATATAATCATTTAAGTTACGCTCAGTTCGCTGTTAAGGGCCTCTTTGACTAAGAGGATTTTCATAGCAATAGTGGAGGCTACAAATCCTTAAAGAGTTTTTTCTATGTTGGTTCTTTGGTTCATACGATTGAATCCCATAGAATTTTTCCTAAGAAATCCATCACACTACATTTCAAAGGAAAAAACCACACCCACTCTGACCTCATGCAAAAAATCTTTGTTTTTCCTATGATGCAATCAAACACACTTGGGTGCGAACAAAATCTCATACTATCTGGTTGGACATGGCACTGCAATCCTAGGTTTTTTTTTTCATTCCTGTGTTGTTCCAATCTATCTATAAAGAAGGCCTTAGAGGCCCAAAATACACAATGGGACACGGGTGCACATGCACCCGAACCGCAAAAGGGAAAGTAAAAAATGGTCAAATATTTGTTTAAAACTTCTTCATAACAAGCATTGTCCAATGTATTATTCACGTGTAAAGTTTCGCAACAAAATAACTTTCGTGGTATTCTGAACAAACAAACAAAAAAACGGCACTATATTAAGCTTGATATTCACACAATTTGTAATTGTAATTCAGTCTTTTTTGCGAACAATACCACAAAAGTCATTTGTCCCGAAACCTTACACGTGAGTCATTATTACTAGACAATGCTTGTTCCGACAAAGTTTCACTTTTTTTACTGTTTCTAATTTGTTCTGCCTAAGCGAGGGAAAAGAATTATACGAGATCAGGTCTCATGGGCTAGCATGTGAGACCCACCCTGATGGATAACACGTGTCATTTACAAATCACAAAGCATGTACCCCACCCCCAGTTGAAATCAGGGAGGAAGAGATTAGATGCTTTATGATTTATGAATGCCACGTGTCATCCATCAGGGTGGGTCTCACCTACTAGCCCGTGAGACCTGGTCTCATATGATTTTTTTTCTCAGATTTCCAAAAAATCCGCACTGCTGTTGAAAGCGGAAGAAAATGTACTACAAAAAGGAGATAAATTCGAAGAATTTGTGCCAAACAAGGTAAGAAGTGTCGCGATCCGGTAACATTTGAAATTCGCGTGCGGGAAAAGGGCTGCTGCGCCCGCTCGTAAAAAGCTTGGTTGTAGGTCGAGCGGTGTGCAGTTCACTGTCGCGACCGTCGTACGAATCACGTGGAAACGCGAATACATATGGCTGTGGTTCATCCCCGACCCCGCGGTCCCCTCTGCCGCTGCACCGCTCCGCCCCGCCCGCCCGCCTGCTCTGCCTGCCCGCCTGCTACTGCTGCCTACACCTACACCTACACCTACACCCATCCGTCCGTCCGTCCTCCTCCACTTGACCCGGTGGTACCACTCGCCTCGTCTCGGAGCAGGGCAGCGGATACCAGGCGGGAGCTAGCCCGCGCACGCCTCTCCTGCGCGCGCGGCGAGGGTACGGCCATGGCGTACCAGTACCACCACCAGGACCACGCCGCGGCCGCGCTGGGGATGGACGCCGCGGCGGCGGCGGCGGCGGCCGCGGGGAACCCCGGCGGCGGCGGCTTCGCGCCAGGTTTGGGCGCGGGCGGGTGGGAGAGGGAGAAGGCGGCCATCGAGGCGCACCCGCTGTACGAGCGGCTGCTGGAGGCGCACGTCGCCTGCCTGCGCGTCGCCACCCCCGTCGACCAGCTGCCCCGCATCGACGCGCAGATCGCCGCGCGCGCCCCGCCGCCCATGCCCCCCGCCGCCGCGCCCGCGGGCGGCGAGGAGCTCGACCTCTTCATGGTGAGCTGCTGCTACCACGAGGCCTCCTCGCCTCACGCCGGCCGCGTACGGAGGCCTGCTCCGTGGGTGCTGTAGTATGGTAGATTGACGCGGCGTGCGTGCGTGCGTGCTTCGAAAAATTGGGGATTGGGTGGGATTTGGCGATGAAGTTGCCCCGCTCGTGTTGGGATTTTTTGGGATTTCAAACAGGCTAGCCAGATTACCCTTTTTCCCGAACGCACGGAACATGTTTGATTGGTTGCGCATGAGCTCATATGGGATTAGCACTCGCTAATTTCTGCCGGTGGATTTGGTTTAGGCTAGGTTCCTCAACTGTGAGTATTATTATGCTAGTTCATCCTTTGATTATTACCCATCCCACCTGCAAATAAATTACTGCTTGCTCTAGGCTCTAGCTGTGAGCAACTTTGTTTTCTCAACCACGAGCGCCTCACCTCTGCGATAGAGACAAAAGCAACCCCCAAAAAACAACTACAAGTGTCCCTTTGCTAGGCAAGCAGGGGCTCCTTTGCCTGGAAATGGCAATTCTCCTTGTGTAAAGGTTATTATCGACCACCTGCCTTTTCTATATGTGTTCTAAAGGTTCTGCTTTCCTTGTTGCAGACACACTATGTGCTGCTCCTCTGTTCCTTCAAGGAGCAGCTCCAGCAGCATGTGCGCGTCCACGCCATGGAGGCGGTGATGGCCTGCTGGGAGCTCGAGCAGACTTTGCAGAGTCTTACAGGTAGCATAGCATACAGCATCTTAAGTTCATCAGTTCAACAGCAGGATATGTGCTTCTTAAGTTTTCTACCAAGAGGGTTTTACAATGTGTACACTACATGCTTATTAATTGATAGTCATGGTAAGTATCATACTACAATGAGGGGCACTGCTTTATAGGATCTTCACCACAGGGGATTTTTTTTTAAATAAGGGTTTTATTTGCTTCTGCTCTCTGCACCCAGCGAGTGACAGATCACAATTATAGTTAATTATTTCAAAATTCAATCAGAAAAACCTTAATCACTTGACCCTTTTTTCCTCTATTGTTGCATTCTGGGACGGAGGGAGTAGAAAATACAGGTCATAATTCCCCGCCTTGTAGGTCCTATGAGATATTAGGTCCACCTTTGTAGTAATACCGGTTCCTTCTTTTATATTATCAGTTACAAGAATTGCAGACTTAAGCTGTTGAAGCTGGCTTTAAAGCTATACCTTTTGAGATTTCAGTTCGGTGTATGTGACAGTTGTGCATGAACCTTGTGCTGTACTGACCATGCAACTGAACTGGTAGTACCTTGTGATCATAATCTTAACAAGTTGTCCTGATAAAGTTGCTCTTACTAAGTCTAGTGCAATTAACTTCCACACAAAACAGTCAGTCACGGACTATATAATAGGGAAGCATCACACAAGGGGTACCCTTTCAGATGCTTCATGTTGCTTGTTGAAAAGACAGGCAATCCATGTAGGAAAAGAAGTCCCTTGCCTAGTGCCAAAAAAAAACTGCATATCGAAGAACGCTTCATGGTTACAAAATGAACTGACATAGCTACAAAACTTTCTAGTGGAATTGTACTTCACTTTAAATTAATTCATAGGAGATTGCCTGCATATAGTACTGTTTTCATTTACTTTTGCTAAGGCTGTAAGGCACATTTGCCACCATTCTGCCTATGGGCATCACGAGGCACACACCTATGAGAAAACCGTGCCAGTATCCATTCACACTGGAAACTGGTGTCGCCGTGAAAACCAAAGGGAGTGATTTTCAGTTTTTAGTTGGCAATAGAACTTTGCATAATCTGTTTCTATGTGTAATCATCAGTCGGTTTGCATCAGTTTACGATGAGAGGCATATGTTTGAACATGGAAGTTTGCCTGCAGATAATAATGAGTATTATGTCGGGAGAAATCATAATGATATAAACCTAGAGCAAGTTTAAGCCTGGATAGGCTTAGTTAAATATCATACCGGCAAAGGCAATATGCAACATAAATGTGACCAAGGTAAGTTTTGCTGCTAATACTAATTCTTCCTGTAGGGGCATCTCCTGGCGAAGGCACCGGGGCGACTATGTCTGATGATGAAGACAACCCGGTCGACAGCGAGAGCAACATGTTTGACGGAAACGATGTGTCAGATGGCATGGGCTTCGGAATGCTAACCGAGGGTGAGAGATCCTTGGTCGAGCGCGTGAGGCAAGAGCTGAAGCATGAGCTTAAACAGGTAAAACTTACCGCCTTCCAGTCTGTCAGCTGCCACCATGTTGGTGTCTAAGCTTCTATTCCTGACTTGCAGGGGTACAGAGAAAAGCTTGTGGACATCAGGGAGGAGATACTGCGGAAGCGGAGAGCCGGTAAGCTCCCAGGAGACACGGCGTCCACTCTGAAGGCGTGGTGGCAAGCCCACGCCAAATGGCCGTACCCAACTGTAAGTGACAGCCCGCAGATACCACTATCACCCTTTTTACTTGCAATTTTGGTTCCGCTACCGATGATCATTGATCGATCTCCCTCGGGCGGCTTTGTTAGGAGGAGGACAAGGCGCGGCTGGTGCAGGAGACGGGGCTGCAGCTGAAGCAGATAAACAACTGGTTCATCAACCAGCGCAAGCGGAACTGGCACAGCAACCCTACCTCGTCCTCGTCGGACAAGAGCAAGAGAAAAAGGTACGGTTTACCGATGATCCATCTCAAAGAATTCCTTTTACATACTATACTCGAGACCTCTCTGGTTGGTTTTCATTCCCTCTCTTTATTCTCAAAAAAAGGAACAATGCAGGTGACGGCAACGCCGAGCAGTCCTGGTAGGGCGGGCGCGGCTGGAGAGCGAAGAACGAATGCCCCATATATGTACATAGCGCTTCCATCTTGGAGAAGGCTTGATACTACTATTTATTGGTCCGGGAGGCGACGCCGGCGGCTATTCGCCCCGGAGCCTCCCGGACCCAACACCGTCTGTACTGTACCCCAAAAGGAAGAAGAAAACATGTAGTAGTAATGTTGTAACGGAGTTACCCGAAATCTGTAGCTGTTTTGTGGCGCGGCGTCGCTGTGAGCGAGTGTATACGGGCTGTTCCGTGGTGTGCTTGTGGGTCGTGTGTTGCGTTGCCGTGGGACTGGCGGAAGTGTCGTGTGTTGTGTGGGTGGGTGCTGTATATTTGCGTACCTGTACGTGTACTGACCATGATGCCTTGTTTGTGCGTTCTATCTGTCTGTAGCCTGCACCCTCGGTTCTTTTTTTCTGTGTCCGTTTATTTTTCTGTGTGATCAGGCGGCGGTTTTCCGTCAGAAGAAGGATCACGAGGGGCCTGAAAACGTCAGTTAATCGCACCTGGGGGTAGGGTAAGGGGGGGCCTGGACGTTCGGTGTGGCAGCTGGTGCGTGGTACCGCCAGCCAGCGTAAACTCGCAGATTCGGGTCCCCTGAAAGAAAATGCTCGCAGGTTCAGTTTACGGCGGAGAGCCGAGAGATTTGGCACGCGGGGACGAGGAGGAAGATCTGTGATGGACTTTTTTTTTTTTTTTTGCGGGAGAGATCTGCGGGTATGCGGCGCTACCAGTACGACGATATCTCCGGATCCTCTCGCGCAGATCAGGGGAAGTTGTCAACAGACAAAGGGGAGCACGTAAACTAGTTGTCGTACTACCGTACTACTCACTCCGTTCCGAATTATTTGTCGCAAGTATGAATGTATCTAAATATATTTTAGTTCTAGATACATCCATTTCTACGACAAGTAATTTGGAACGGAGTGAGTACCAGTATGACAGCACAATGCGATTAACCCCCGTCCCATCCGACGCGGCCAGATCTGGGCCCTGGTACCGGAGCCAGCCAACTAACTCAAACCCACCCACTTGAGCAGGCCGAAGAATCGGATCCGTCGCCCGTGCACCAGTCCGCCCCATGCCCGAGGCGCCGCGTCAGGCCGGTCACGTTGGCCGCGCCGTCCCCCACGCACCTCGTCCTCCTCACATCACACCATCACATGCGCATCCGCATCGTCCTCCCCTCCTCGTCCCCGTCGTGGCACCCCGCATGTGCCCCGGGCATGGGCGACCCGGACTTCACTCGGCCGTGCAAAGTCAGCATCCAAGATGGCATCGGGCATGGGTCATCCACCACCCAAGCCACAGAATCAGCGCAAAACCAAGGACGATGGACACACACACACGAGTAATAATGGCCTCTTTGATTCACAAGATTTTGAAAAGGCAGGAACAGGGAATGTGTACGACATGTCCACTTAAGGAGTGTACGATGCCACATGAAAAACAAAGGAACTCTAAAGGGCCTCTTTGATTCATAGGATTTTAAAAACGAAGTTATAGAAAAAGTATAGGGTTAAAGTGGCATGTCCACTTGAATCCTATATCTTAAAGGAATAGCAATGAGTGTTTGATGGCACAGGGAAAACAAATGAATTGTAAAAAGAGGTTGGACTGGATGTTAGATTTCCTATAGAATGTAGTACAAAAGATTTCCATGGGAAAAATTCTTATGGGGTTCAATCCTGGGAATCAAAGGACCAACATAGGAAAAAAAATCCTAAGGATCTAAATCCTCCAGAAATCCTATAAAATTCATTTGAATCAAAGGAGCCCTAAAATGAGGTTAGAGTAGAAGATTTCATATGAAAAATGCCTATGGGATCCAATCCTATTATGAACCAAAGGACCAGCATAAGAAAGATTTCCAAGGACTTCAAAGGAGCCCTAAGAAAACTTCCCGACGCAAGAAATATCCTATAGGATTTCTTCGACTCAAAGGAGCCCCAAGTACAACAGCTGCAGCCCTTTCAGGCAGAAAACAGAGGGAACTACATGCTAACAATGTAATCAAAATAACTGGATATATTTTTCTTCCTCACAGGATAAAACAAAACAACTGGACCCTTTTTACAGCGACACCGAACCATTTCGGTATACATAACAAACACACGAAAAACCAAGCATATACAAGCAATATAGGACCTCAACTGACAGTTCCCAAAAACTTGTATTACACCACCCAGATTACACAACCAGTTCATCACCACATTCTTCAGACTGACCTGACCTGACCTGACCGACCAACGACTTCCAAATAGACTCGATTATTACCCACAAGAAAAGGCAGGGGAGACAAAGGGAAGAAAATAAATAAAATATCGGACTCTCTATAACTGACAATAAGACTGGCTTATTCAGCGCGCCTCTAAGCCAAAGCCAAAGGGGAAGGGTATAAATGAATGAATACGGATCTGGGACGACGACCGACCGACACTTCTAGACACGGGGAGGTTGGGAGGGAGGGCTGATGATTTTATGATTACAAGGTATGAAACAATGAAGGGGTATGAACAGATAGATAGACCCTAGGGACCGACCGACCGACGCTACGAAAGAACGAAACCAACCATATATATAATATTTATATATATCAGCACCGGATTTTCTTAAAATACGCAATATGCGAAGACGAACTTGTCCAAGACGGATGGATGGCCCCAGAAGTTTTCTCAAGACCACTGCTGGCGCTACTAGGATTGCACCTTCTGGGACGCGGCCATGGCGCGCAGCCTGACGGCGATCTGGGTGAAGCTTGGCCGTTCCGACGGTTCTGTCGCCCAGCATTGCTCCATCAGCGACCTCCACTCTGGGTCGCATGAGTCAGGCACCTGCGGCCGCAGAGTGTTGCTCACAATGCCACCTGACAGTTCAAACAACAGCTTACATCAGACTCTGACCATCCACTGCACAAGTAATTTCTACGAGGGTATGGCTGATTGTGCACCCACCAATGATAACACCATAATGCAAATCTGCATATGGTTCCTCTCCTGTGAGGAGTTCCCACAGGACAATCCCAAAGGAGAAGACATCAACCTGAGGGAAACATATCAACATTAGTGTGCAAGTTATACGTAAACCAGGGTATAGCTATCTGAATTTGGACACGGAAGCAATATGAAGGGATTAGCAAACCTTTTCAGAGACCAGGCTGCTGCTTCCATTCAGAAGCTCTGGGGCCATCCATGGAAGCGTTCCCCTCACACCACCAGAGATGAGGGTCTGACACTTGACTTTTGAAAGCCCAAGGTCACCAACCTGCATCATCCAAGAAAAATCAATGCAGATATATATAGAAAGAGAAATGGTGTTTAACTTAAATCATACAAAAAAGCAAAACTGTTCGCATTGGTCGGTCGATCCAGTTTGTTGACAGTTCACATGAGCAATATTTCATTCGCATGTGACAGTGCAAGAACTAAAAGTGAAGCCTTAGTTATCTATAAACTACAGATAATGCGGCATGGATGTTTAGTAGATCAGTAAAAGATGACAAAATTCAGATGGCAAACAAGTGATTCTTTAGTACAAATAAAAGGAGTTTATTGTTAGTAGCCATGCATTATTATACCACGCATGTTCCCTGCAGTGTTGACGGAAGATGCCTTAAGGTTAGCTAAAAGCCTAAAATGATCCCCGGACTAATCTAAATCAATCATGTCTATTCTAAGGTGCAACTCATCAATTGCCCAAGCAACAGTACATTCTCGCCCACATGAATGTCCATATGATTACCACAACAAAGCACTGTATATTCCAAGTATGATGGGATATTGATGCTAAAACTTATCAATAATACCTAATAATTTGAAAAGTCAATATAGACAGATTACCCAATATCAAACATACAAAATATGATACAGAAGAGAAGAATCAATAGTCTAGCAATTTAGTACAACAAGCCAGCAATAGTACAAAACAGAATTGAGTTCTTACCTTGCATATTGGACGCTGAGGATCCCTTAAATTAACAAGTAAATTGTCGCTTTTGAGGTCAAAGTGCACAATGTTTTTGTTATGCAGATACTCCATTCCAAAAGCTGTGTCCATGGCAATAATTAGCCGTTTGCGTCGATCCAGGCTCCTGCACATGCAGAGAATATTAATCGCCTCAGCTTCATGTTGGATTATAAGTTTCAAGTTTTTAAGATGTGGCAGTTGATACATGAGAATTACTTCTAAGACATATGCTAGAATGCAGACATTTTTTTGTTTTGAGAAAAGGCCTGAGGCCCAGCTTTATTCAAAGCTTTGCAGACATATAAATAGTGGACGTACTTGGAATTCTTCAGCAAAGCCGTCCTAAGTGAGCCATTAACCATATATTCTGTAACCGTTGCAATGGATCCCCCAGGCCCATCTAGAACAACGCCGTAAAAGGCCACAACATTGGGGTGGTGCAGATCAGCAAGGTTAGATGCTTCATTCCAGAAGTCATTCCGCTGCAAACATTCAGGACATATCAGTATAAGGACAGGCATAAGCAAATAAAAGGAAATATAAAATGTTATAGTTATACCATTTTTTCTTGCTCAGATGGCTTCCCAGCAAAACATCTGTCATTGATTCTTTTTATTGCAACATCAGAGCCCCTCCATTTACCATGATATACAGTTCCAAAAGTTCCAGAACCGAGTTCTTGGAGCTCTTCGAGGTCATCATTCTTTATAATCTGAAAAACGAACATATGTGGTTGGTAAAGAACATTACTTTGAATTAAAGATGCGCGGGATAAAAAAGATAAGAGTTCCTGATTGTAACCTGGAGGCGTTCATGCTCATCTGCGACTGGTTGTCCTGAAATCCAATCTAGTGGTTTGCCCTTGCTAACCTGCACATTTCTCTTGTTAGATTGTTAAGTGCTAAAGATGAAACAGAACGTATATGAACTTCTAAGGAATCACATCCTAACCTCGTTGGTGTGAGCTTGCCCGTCTACTTTATTAGTGACATTCCCATGCCCTTCATTCAGCACAGGAGGTGGAGGCTCAAATGCGGCTAGACCATCCTCCATGCCCAGCAAGTCTGGGTTAGTGATACCATCACCTGGATTCATGAAAGACAGTAATAAGCATTCACAACTTATGACTCATTAAGCACATATACTGGCAAAAGGTGTAATTGGAAGTATTGTTAAGAATTGAACCTTTGACAAACTGAGGTTGTTCTGCATGTGTGTCTTTGTGATATGGTTGCTCCTCAGCCGGGATATTCAAATCTGGCCCTTTGCAATTCAACAGAGAGTTTTGGGAATGGGGATCCTTAGAACTGATGTTCTCCCTGCTTGCTACCCTCTTAGGTCTTGGTGGCAGCGCATGTACATTGCTGAACTGTTGACCCGGTAAACCAGACTCCTGGAGCTGCTCGACTGGAGCGTGATTTGCCAATGCTGGTGTCGGTAATGGTACCTGAGCATTAGCGTTCGAAGGAGGAACGGATTCATGTGGAGCTTCCTTGTGATAAACTTCAGGCAGAACATCCTTCTGCTCGCCCATTGGGTTAATAGTGGCTTTTGTATACGCAGGATCAACACCATAAGCCGATGGGGGCACACCCACATGCCCAATCGTAGCGGCAACATAACTGGGGTATGGTCCCCCAATGCTCACCATTTGCGGCGGCATATGGTTAACGTTGGCATGCTGGACAGTATGCATATAAGGACTGGCCACAGAAGGCGGTGGCATTGATTCAGTTGGAGGGGCTATCTTTGGCTCACTGACATCAAAAAAGGTGTTGGTGTTGCTCTGAGAGTATTGCGATGTTGCATTCTGGGGTAAACCATTCTCGGCATACATCCTTTGTTCGGGATAGCGGGGCTCGTTGGGGTTCACCCGTAGTGAATCCATCATCCTGTCCACATTGGCCATATAGGTTGGCACAGCAGCAGGTGCCACTGAAGGCACATTATCACGGAGCACTTGTCCATCCCCCCGATGCCTAGAATTGCCACTTAAACTACCTTCGCCTTCAAGCGGATTATTGGGATTAGTTTGCCTCACTTGGTACTGAGCCATTCCATGGGGTGAAGGCATTTGATGCAGTATAGCTTGTTGATGAGAGCTTGCAGTGTCAGAATGAACGGAATTTGGAGAGACCATCTCAGTAGGCATCATGGGGATATGGTTAAATCCATAAGTCGACGACGGCACCTGCTGTGGTGGCAATTGCTGCTGCTGGTGGTGCTGCTGCTGCACATAGACATGCTGATGAAAGCTCGCTGGATCGACGGGCATTGGGTTTGCAACGCCTTCCATCTTTGGTGCATACATCCTTTCCCTGTCAGGCTGCACTGGATGCATATGTGTGTACCCATAAGCCCCCATTTGTGAAGGTATTTGCCGCTCTCCCATCATGATCCTTGCCACATCTTCAGGCCGCAGGCTCATGAACACTGGAATTTGCTCAGGCGGCGCCCCTCCACGCACATCGCTGGCATAGTCATTCACGACTGGATCGGAGTGAGCATGAGGCAGAGCCTTGATACACATATTGCAGTCCTGAAACCAGGTCGCATTTTCTGGTGGCTGCTGATTCAGACCCTGCATAACCTCCCTATGATCGTTCATGAACACTGGTGGCAGTGGTGGTAGCTGTGAGAGTGGCTGACGGTACCTTGCTGCCTCCGGATGTGGATGCGGATGCGGGTGTGGATGTGGATGGGGGGATGGCTGAGGGGGCGCAGCACTCTCCTGCGGCTTCACCGGGACAGGGGCAGGAGCAGCATTGGTGAAGACATCAACAAGCAGCTGCTGGGGTGGCGGCGGAGCAGCAAAAGCCGATCTGGCGGCGTCGTAGGAGCAGGTGGAGGTGGGGGAGACAGCAGTCGGGGAGCCGCCGCCGCCTCCTCCCCCTCCCCC